AGCAACAGAAGATCCGCTCTAGTCTCATAACTATAGAATGTGACAACAGGGGAATGATAAATCCGATCCACAACAACAAAATCGCCCACAAGAGTGGACACATAAATAGGAGTTCCTAAGGACTCACGAGAAACATCCAGGAAAAGAGCAAATAGAGAGGACATAAATGAATAGGTGGACCCTAGATCAAATAATACCAAAGCATTCCTACCGCAAATAGAAATAATACTTACGATCATGGCATCTGAGGCTACTGCATATGGTCTGGCCGGAAAAGCATAGAACCTAGTTGGAGCGCCAACTGGCTGGACTATAGCTGGATGGCCTCCACCTTTGGGATGGCCCTTACCCGCCTGCCCTCTACCTCTGGGCAGCCTGACAGCTGGTGCTGTAATCATGGGTTGCTGACCCTGTTGTACTGCCTTGCCCCGAAGCCTGGGGCAGAACCTTCGCACATGACTAAGATCTATGCACTCGAAACAGCCCCTCGGTATGGTAATATGCTGACTTGAAACCTGACCTTGATGGCCTGAATACCCACTGGAAGTAGCTTGAATAGCTGGTGGGCGGTAAGAACTCTTTGGCATGGCACTGAAATAGGGTCGCACTGGAGCACCCCGAGGAGGCGACGATGTTGGATATGTGGGCGTGTTAGGCTGCCCTCTCCCAAACTAACCTCTGTCCCCAGCCGGGGCACCTCTAAACTCTCTAAAATAAGGGGACTGCTTGTCCTGCTGCATCTGCTTTATACCTCTCTGATGGTAACCCTCAATTCTCCGAGCTATCTTTACTACTAGTTGATAAGAAGTCCTCATCTCAACCTCTCGGGCCATAATGGCCTGAATACATGAGTGCAACCCTGCAACAAACCTCCGCATTCTCTCCGCGTCAGTAGGAAGTATCATAAGTGCATGGCGAGACAACTCAGAGTACCTCATATCATAATCAATCACTGACATCTGACCCTACTGGAGCTGCTCAAACTAAAACCGTAACTCTTCCCTTTAGGAGGGTAGAATATACCTATCCAAGAAAAGGCCATGTAAACTGATCCCAAGTCATGGGAGGAGAAGATATGGTTGCCACCATCTACGGGCCCTACCCTCCATCTGGAAAGTAGTGAAATCCACCCGGTGGGACTCCAATATCCTCATGGTGTGCAGTCTGTCCCTGCACCTATCAATTAAGTCCTAGGGATCCTCATGTCACTCACCCCCGAAGACAGGAGGGCGTATCCTAGTCCATCTGTCCAATAGCTTCTGCGGCTCGCGCGACCGCAACTGGTCTAGGCTCCGATATGGCTGCTGCTACTAGCTGGGACCCACCACAAGTAGTGCACCCGGGGTCTGATATACAACACATGCATGCCAGGAGCCTGAGCATTAGGAGTCTGTGCTCCCCCTCTCGCCTGAGATGTGGCTGGGTCCGCTAGAAATAAACCAGCCTGGGTCATAGAATCCATTAACTGTAGCATACGGTCCATAACCTCCTAAAAGCCCGGTGCTAACATGAAATCTACTGGGGCTGGCTCTGCTGTAGGCACCTCACCCTGCTCCTAAGTAATGGGATCCTCTACTGGATTCGCTGGTGGTATAGCTGGGGAAACTCTGGGACATCCTCGTCCCCTACCTCGAGCTGGTGCCCTCCCTCGGCCTCTAGCAACAGAGGAGCAGCTCCTCCGAGGCCTGGAACATCCTCGTGTGCATTCTCACCATCTGTGAGAGAATAAGAGAAAGACACTTAGCATAACATCCACTACACGATAGGAAATGAAGAAAGAGTACATTTCTAACACTCTATAGCCTCTCGAAGATAAGTACAGACGTCTCCGCACCAATCCACAAAACTCTATTAGGCATGCTCATAACTTGTGAGACTTGTGTGAACCTACTTCTCTAATACCATGTTGTCACGACCCAATTTCTCCTATAGGCCGTGATGGCGCTCAATGTTACCGCTAAGCAAGCCTACAGTGAACTAACTCTGTCATCCTTTCTTTTAAAAATTTAAAATAGTTGATTTTTCAGTTGTGCATAAATAAAAAGTAAGAATCTAATAAAAATGAGAGATCAAAATTTTGGAAAGCAAGTGAGATAAGAAAAATAACCTAAAAACCATCAAGTGTCTACTAGCATAAACTTCAAAGACCTGGTGTCACAAGTATATGAGCTATTAGTAGAATATACAAAAGAATAGTACACCACTGTCTGAAGCGAAATAGATAGAAAATAAAAGCAAAAAGAAGACTTCGGCTGTTGCAGAACGGGCTCAGAAGGGCAGCTCACCGCAAAGTCTCGAAAATCAAGGATGCGCGCTGGACTGATGTCCAGATGCACCTGCCTCATATCGTGCATATTTTTGTGCAGAAGTGCAGCGTGACTACATAAACATATAGCCAGTAAGTATCCCGTCTAACCTCGAAAAAGTGGTGATGAGGTGTCGACTTTGACACTTACTATGGGCTAACAATAAAATGTCAAAATTATAACTAAGCATGGATTATATAAATATAGCCGAAAACTGAATAACAGGAAATAATAAATAATCATTTCACTAATAGTAAATCCCAAATTTATTTTCATCACTTAACAATTTATATCTCAAGCTAATTAAGCAATATCAATTATAATTAGTTCCAAAGATTATTACGCGCAATTTATACCGAGCTCGTACGGCCCGATCCAACATAAAAATATTTAAACTGTGCATTGCCGAAGGTCGAACGACACGAACCATAGATGCATCTATCTACTACCGAGACATTCGGCCCTCTCCACAAAAAAAGGAAATACTTTATAACAGTCGATTCAAGATTTATTAAGAGTCTAATATGTAAAGAAACACCAATTCTCAATAGTAGTCAAGTGGCCCGTCCAAGAATTCAAGTAACTGAAATTTAACCTTTTATAATTTTTTTATCAAGTTCCAACATGATTTAAGCAATTAAGTTAACAAGTAGCATGCACACATCGTAAGTATAACATGGTATGGGTCCTAGAATACTCGGACATAAGCATAATTAGTAGCTACGTACGGACTCTCGTCACTTCGTGCGTATGTAGCCCCCACAAATAGAAGCACATATTAATCAATTTACCTATGAAGTTAATTCCCTCTTACAAGGTTAGAAAAGAGACTTACCTCGTCTCAAAACTTACTTTCCGGCCTCAAATTCACTCTAAAGCCTCACCTCGGTGCCGAACAATCCAAAACTAGTCAAATAGTATATAAATTAATCAATACATGTCCAAAAGTTCATATTTCAATTACTAAAGTGATTACCCAACCTCAATTGTAGGATTCCTAAAAATCACCCCCGGGGCCACGTGCCCGATTCCGAAAAGTTTTGAAGAAAGTTGTTACCCATAACCTCATGAACTCAAATATATGATTTTCACTAAGCTCAATAACTAATTTCGTGGGTAAATTTTATTTTTATCAAAAACCTAGGTTTTTCATCTAACCCATAATTCCTACATATTATATATTAAAATCTACTCATAATCTATGTATTAAACTCACACCAGGTAGAAATTACTTATCTCCAATAGCTAGGTCGAAATCCCCCTTTTTGAAGCTCCAAAATCTCCCAAGAGTACAATAAATGAACCCAAAAATGGCTAAGTCCCGATTTTAAAATACTCTGCCCAGCTGCCTTCTTCTTCGCGAACGCGGAACAGGCCTCGCATTCGCGAAGGCAGCGGCCCAGCAATTTGCCCCACTGCCCAAATCATTCTTCGCGAACGCGATGGCCCTCCCGTGTTCGCGAAGAAGGAAACCAGAACTGGAAAAATCTGGTTTCCTTAACTTAGCTCCGGGCAGTCCGAAACATACCCGAGCCCCTCGGAACCCCGTCCAATTACACCAACAAGTCCATAAACTTAATACAGACCTGCTCAAACTCTCGAAATGCATAAAACAACAACAAAACCAATCACACCCCAAAACCAAATTGATTCAAGATATGAGCTTCAAGTTTCCAAATCGCTCCGAACACACCGAATCATACTTGGACTACTTGGAATGACACCAAATTTTGCGTGAAAATCTTAAATCACCATACGAAACTATTTCCGGTCTCAAAATTCCATTTGGACCTCGATATCACCAAAACCTATTCCAAACCAAATTTAAAGAACTTCAAAACCTTCAAAGAGCCAATTTTCACTATTAGGTGTCGAAACACTCCCGGGTCATCCAAAACCCGATCCGAACATACGCCCTAGTCCAAAATCATCATACGAACCTATTGGAATAGTCAAATCCCGATTCTGAGGACATTTACTCAAAACATTGACTGAAGTTAAACTTAGCCTTTTTAGCTAATCTTAAGGAACCAAGTGTTCTGATTTTAACCAAACCCTTCCAAATCCCGAACTAATCATCCCCGCAAGTCATAAAACAGTAAAAGTACGTACGTGAAGTCTTATTTAGGGGAACGAGATTCTATAAAGCAAAACAACCGGTCGGATCGTTACAATTCCAACAAGAGTTTTCTTTTTAAACAATCGAGAAACTTATGAAGGGTAATTGGCGTACATTTCGAAACTCAATGGATGATGGGATTGCTCTCAACCGTTCTCCAATTAAATACCATGCATTCGTTCATAAATAGAGTTTGAACTTGTAACGTGCATCTTATTCACACATCATGAGCTGCGTTTTTACCACTAAATTAAAAGCCTAAACACAATTGTCTTTGATGATTATGAATTTTCGAACTGTGATGTCCATCTTATCAAGACATCATGAGTTGCATTCTTAGCATTGAATCAAATACCTAGGCAATTGTATTTGGTGATTCTAGTTCCTTGACTACTTTAGTTCCTCCTATTTTTGTAAAAAAATTGCCATCTATAGATTATCTAAGTTCACTTTGGGACATGTATACATTCATTACCACTAGTGTTAGTAGGTTATATGCCTTTTGTTTTCGTAATATGTGCACTTTCTAACCTCTAAAATTTCTCTTAACTTTTTCATCCAGTGAATACTGACAGTTCCTTAGACTAGATCATCTGGTTATAATTCATATCTGTTTTCCTTGCAAAGATATATCCTCTTTACATTAAGATTGGAGGTAAGACTTATAACAGATATTTTAGTTGAGCTTCTTTACTACTACTACTACTACTGATGCCCCAACTGGACCCACAAACTTCAAGCAATATTTATCTAAGGAACCATTTCACCCTCAGGAATTCCAGGAAAGTAAGGTTGGAACAGCTGTAACTGAGATTGGAATTCCTTCCATTCCTCTATAAACAATGTGTAGCTTGAGTTTTTGGCCAAAACATCTATTGAAACCTCCTTATTTTCAATCAATCTCCTCGCATATTGATCAAACTTAGTGATATCTTCCAATATCTTGACAAACTTTCTGGCATCAGCCTCAGCTCTGACTTTAATCAGCCTGTCTCTTGCCTCCTCAACCTTAGCCCAAAAGCATGAATCTTGTGTCGAACTCGCGAACCTGCTCCTTGCAGCAGTAGTATGATCTGTGCCATTCTCAACCTCTCCGTCATTCCACCACGTATCAAAAATCTTGTACCTTCTCTCCCTACCGTGCTTCATATAGTGGCCTTTCACATGATGCATCCCACTCCTATAGTACTCTGCGATATCGAGTGGCTCTACGAGGAGTTTGTAGAACTGAGAAGCATTTACCCACTTCGCACGCTTGTGAAAATCATAAGGCAATTGATTCTTTTCCCACTTGTCAATCACAGAATCCCAAAACTTTGCAAGTCTGATCCTGTTCATATTGACCTTAAAGTCTCTTTTCGAGGCACCTCGTTTGCCTCGTTGCTTGTACGAATCGTAATATCCCATTTGATCACTAGATTTATCACAGGATGCTTTATACCACTCTATTTGTGCTCTTAGTGGATTGATCTTGGATAAATCAATTGCAAGGATGGCACTATTAAGGTTGCGAGTTCGACCTGACTTTTTTGCCTCTTTCAGGGCCTTCTTAGCATCTTCTGAATTCAATTCCTGTTTGTCAAGTAGAAGCAAAATCAGAGAATGAGAACCAACATAGAGATGAACCATGTGAAAACTAGAATCAACGATACGAGAGCAATTTTCATCCCTTTAGAGTAAGGTACGAGTATCAATATATGTGATATAGTACCAATACAGCATACATTGCTCTCGTATGATGAAAATTGCTCTGCACCATTACTAGCATATGAAAGTAGTTAATATAGATGTTTGACATTACATGAGAAGCTATTCCTAGCGACTCCAGCGCCAATGTTATCCCTGCTTCATAGCTTGCCTCAGGTAGATTGCCTCCCATGAAGCTTCTACTCTCTATAAATTGCCAATGAAGTTTCTGAATATAATGCGTATAACCAAGATGATCCTCGAGGCTAGAACTTGGTGAACCATTCAGTAACATCAAGTAAAGCAACTTAACGATAAGCATCCCATTATCGACACAAACTGCACCCATGTTGGTGAAGAACAAGTAGCTTCCAAAGGGCCAAAATGAACTCTTACATTCACCTTTTGATATAACTTCAAGAGAAGCCAACACAACGCGGAATAGCTGAGTCTTGTTTTCCTCTGATAAGTGAAAAATAAACTGGAAAGAACAAGAAGACGAAGCCAGTGCAATAAGTGGGGTAGGAGAAGGGGCAAAGAGCAGTCTTGGCACTATATCATGCTGTGAAACCACATGGGAAAAATGTCCAGCCCATCTTTCTTGAAGAATGGTTTGGGAAAAGGACTCATTGCCAAGCATTGGAGAGCCAAAAGTAATGCAAATTAATGAACAGACATTTTGCGGGTGGGAGAGAAGCCAAAGAGCTAAGAGGGAAGCAATTGCTCCTCCAACTGAGTGTCCTGTTATGACTATTGACTTGCTCGTGTTCATTATTTCTACCATCTGCACATTTCAAGAGAAGAAATGGTGACAGAAATTCTAGAAAATAAAAATGGAGAAAAAGCTTTTGTTATGAAGAGAATTCGTGCAGACAATCTTAGAAATTATTTGATCTTGTATTATTTTCAGATCACTTGGCAAAATGCACAAATAACCTATCATTACTTATTGACAGCATGAATATGCAAGACATATTTAAAGATTTTTTCTTAAACATTTCGAGAAATTCATTAGTCTCGTCATATCAACTTTTTTCAAGTGAATTCCCAGTTGATCACTAAGTTTTAAGAGATACTTTACGAAAGAGCTTTGAGTTTTAGTACCATTAAAAATAATCTCTCAAGGGAAACACTTACACACTGGTGTTTGCATCAAACACTTATCAACTTACCATGATTAAATGATATTAAAAGATGTGGAACACATGATAATTATCCATAATTAAATGATAGAAATTTATTTCCAACCATGACCATGTCATGCATCTAGTAGTTTGGTTCAAATACCAAGTGCACATGTGCTTTTACCCACATTTTACTCCTGGCGAAAAATTATGTATTTGGAGTGATGAATGAGACTAACTCAACCTATGATAGTCTTGTTCAGAGTAACTTTTTTTATTTTTTATTTTTATTTTTTTACCAGTGTGCTAATTTCGCATTTGCAGTAAAGAGAAACGTCAAAAAATTTTGAAAGATTATAGTAAGTTATAACATTATAATATGATCAACATTCCTAAATGACTTAATATATTTGATAATTTGACTATATCATATGTATGATGCATGGTTTACGCCTAAAACTTTTCTCTAATAACTAATACTAATGAAGACACTCAAATAGTTTCCTGAAAGTAATTATTGGGTGTTTAAGTAGTGAAATATCTTTATTACATTAATTGCAAGGTATTATATTGTTGAACATTTTCTTATTAAATTTCGTACATGTGTTGTTAAATTATGAAATGTTAATTATTAGTGAGTCAAATGTGTTTGAACATTTTTCTAGATGAAAACTTATATGGGCATGTGCAAAATGGAAGTAGGGGGTTTAGCGGGAGAAAATGTATAAATGGCACGGGTAGGCCACTTTTTACTCAGCTTTTTGTTGTGCAGCCACCATTTGAAATTAATTTGAAAAATACAAGTTTTCAGTTATAGATGAAACTCTAACACAACGTATTAGAAACTCTTATACGCTCCACTATAGCATAGTGTGCTGGAGTTCGAACTTCTAGAAGAAAAACTCGAGCACACCGTGGAGCACGAGTAGTACTATAAGTTATTGGACTTGGATTTTCACTATTACAAGTTCGAACTCCAAGAATTTCCTTTTATATTAGTACTAGTGTACCACCTGGGAAATCACTTTCTCATGTATCACCTATTAATTAAAAGCCCATTTGGATGAGCTTATTTTAAGTGACTTTTAAGTTAAAATAGCTTTAAGTCATAAGTTAGAAATTCTAACTTTTGGCTTTTGACTATTTTTTTGTTGTCATTTTAGCTTAAAAATAAGTGCTTAAAAGCACTTTTTTACTCCATCCAAACATTACAAAATGGCTTAAAAGTTATTTTAGCTTAAAAACACTTAAAAAAAGTCAATCCAAATGGGCGCTAAATTACCCCATTATAGTTTTCTTCAAGTTCGAACTTAACACAAGTGAAACTTCATCACACTGTCTTGGAGTTTGAACAACGTGAATTGTGGCAATTCAAACTCCATCGAATTTTTTGTGTGTGTTTTCTTGTTTTAACTAGGGGTATTCTTGCCAAACTTTTATTTTCATATTAAAGACGGCCAAAGTTTGAATAGTTTTGAAATGGTGGCTAAATACTGATTAGTTGTCTGAAAAATTGCTATTCGTCCATTTTTTCCGGAAAAAAGAAACTCACACCTTAACAATATAAACGTTAAAACTTTATGCAGAAAGACTAACATAGGAATATTGTAGGGTTGGATGTGAGTTGAATGGTTCATTTAATCAAATAATGCACACGGAATCTACTTTAGACGACATAAAATGGTTGTTGAAAAGCTCGGTCTTTGCTCTGTCAATTTCACAAAATTCCGAAAGAAAATAAATAAATAAACAAATTAGTGATGTTGACTTAATGTTGTGGTCATTGAATCAAATGATGAAAGGAACAGTATAGAGTGTGTGAAAGTTTTAGAAAATCTAGAAGAGACTAATTTCTTTTTTTTTTTTTTTTTAAAAAAAAATTGTTTTAGAAATCATCAAACTTGTACGGTTCTACCTCCTGGTCAAAGGTCGAGTCAATAGTCAATTGTGATGCACATAGAGCTTTTTATACTTTTCTAGTTCTAGAACTTACTCATTCTGGTAAGAGTTTTTCTTGTTACGAGTTACGACAGATACGGAGCTAAAAAATCAATCTTGCTCTTTTCAACCAAATTGAATTTCTACCTTTAAGTAGCAGTATGTCCGCTTGATAATTGTTCCTTCTATTTCACATTAAATTTTTTTCGCTTAATTTTGTTGATACAATATGAGAAATATATATATGTCGAAATTTTGAGTTACTTTATTTTGTCAAAAGAAAATGGCAGTCATATGTTAATATTTTTTGGTTTTCTTTTTATTAAAAAATAAAGTAACAAAACAGTTAGTAAGATTATTTCGTAACTTTTTGTAAGCATTGGGTGTGTTTGGTATAAAGGAAAATGTTTCTACTGAAAATGTTTTCCTAGAAAATGAGTGGTTTTTTGACTTATTTTCCCTTGTTTGGTTGGTGAGTGAAAAACTTTTTTAAAATTTTTTTTTCTAGTATTCGGTTAAAGAGTAAAAAATGATTTTTAGGAAAATATTTTTCTAATGCTACTCTTCTCACGCATCCCCTTCTCTCAAGTCCCCATATTTCTTGTCCGCTCTCCTTCCCCTCTCCCTCTTCCAAATACCTAACTTTTTCAGAACTCTATTTTTCTTCAAGAATTTAATTATTCTTCTAAAAATTCACGGAAACTCAAAGGAACTAATGTACTGCATTACTTTTTTACACAAAAATAACGTTGAAATTTATACCCAATAACTAAAAAGAAAATACTCTTTTTTTTGTTTAAAAAGAAAGTTCTCTTTCTACAACATAAAATAAAGTACTTATTTTGTTGAAATGAAAGAAAATATTTTTCTGCATTATGAAAAGAAAATACTTTTTCTACATTATGAAAAAAAATATTTTTTGTTGAAATAAAAGAAAATAATTTTTTTTGTTAAAATGAAAAAAAATACTTTTTTATATCATGAAAAGAAAAATACTCATTTGTTAAAATGAAANTGGTGGGGATGAGAAATATGGTGGGGAAGGTTAAAAAGAGTTTTGAAAAATACTTTCCTTTCTCTTTCTCTTGATAGGGAAAATATTTTCTCTCATTTGGAGAAAAGTGAGTTTATGAGAAAAATATTTTCCAAAACATTTAAGCTAATCAAACATGAAAAGATTAAAAAATATTTTCCGAAAAATATTTTTCTTTCATACCAAACACACCCATTATTCTATGGAATTTTAAATTATCACAGAAAGTGAATGCATGGAGTAAAATATTTCCTTATCGCACTTTAAAAAAATTAAATATTATTTAATCAATGAAAATGGAAAAATTCAATCCATGTCATAACATTATTTTGAATCCATTAAAATTGAATTGGTATATTCTCAATATGCATACCAAAAAATGAACACCCCACAAATCGAGTCAAGTTATATTAGTAGATATTGATAGGATTAACTAAGTATTTGGCCATCCGAGCAATTGTTCATGAATCATCACCATTATGGCATTATGGAAACCTTTAACAGGAGATACATTAGTTACAATTTAATTAGGAAGTATTAAAGCTACAGGAGAGTTCTTTAGTAGAAGATGATATTCCAATATATATATATATATATATATATGCCCATGGAAATACTTACATAAATAAACTGACCTGATTACGGAAGAAATTTTTTGTGTAAACGGATTGGAAAAGATGCAATAATCCGGCATGGACCATGGGCGGATTATCCGTCCCATCCATGCACAAGCCAGAAAATAGTTCATCGGGAAGCGGCAACAAATTCCGGCAACTTTGGTCGACTCCGGCGGCCAATTTGATGCCGGAGAACGCGACATATGCTGTCCCACCAACTTTAATCACGGCGAAGTGGCTATCCACCGAGGCATCGGCGACGCCGCAAGCCTTCAACGACTCCTCCAGCAACGGCGTCGACGCCACAAAAGCTGCCAACGTCTCGCTCGACTCGAACCTGCAGCCATCATAATAAGTTTTCTATAGGTCCAATTACTATAGTTATGGGTTAGTGGAAAATTAAAGATTGGTGTTTACTTACGATGAAGCTTCCGATTCCATTGCGTACGAAATTATCAAAGTTTATGTGAGAAATTAAGAGTTTGAGGCAAAGTTGCTAACTGTAAGATTCGAGGAATTAAAGGATATTTATGTATGTATTAGTCTTTTTGATTTTGACATTTGTGCGTGAATGTTACTCTGCGTGTGTATTGTGCGCGTGCTGTCGCGCAATCAATCCGTCCCATCATGACGAAAATGAGTGAATAATAGAGTAATTCTTTCTGATATCCTCAAGTGTAAGGTACGTAGCAACTTTGATCTATTTCATATTTCTCTTGTTTACTGTCGAAATCGGGCTCGTCTATTATACGATAGATCGGGATTGAAATATGATGGGTTAAAACCGACTCCGGGTTCGAGTCCGGTTACCACAGCGAAAATAACAACATAGCGTCCTGTAACACGGTACCACCCGCTGATCCCATCGGAATTCCGGTCGCGGACCCGTTAGAACTAACTCGCATGTGGCTATCGACACAAACCTGCCTACCGATCCCAAAAATAGCACCAGTGGTGGAGCCCGATCAACAACGCATAATACTCAAAACAATGGGGGAGACAGGATCAATCTACGGATGATCTTCGAAATGTTACAGGCTCAACGGGAGGCGATAGCTCAGTTACAAAACCAAAACCGCACACCGAGAAATATTGAACCCGATCCGTCCCGGGAAATCCCCCACAGAGAAGAACCCGTCTCGGAGAGATCGAATGGAGATGAGTCGGGACTAACCCCGAGATCATAAGAATGCTAGAGGAGCTGACGAAACAGATAGAATTAGGGGAAAAGAAAATCGAGCCAAATAACAAGAAGGTTGAACCTACAATTCCAGGATCGACCAAATTCCGAGAGCACCGCCGGTACTGAAAGGCTTGGATTTCAAGAAATTCGTGCAAAAACCTTTCCCTCCGAGTACAGCCCCGAAACTGATCCCTAAAAAATTCTGCTTGCCCGAGATTCCTATGTACACCGGACAACTGACCCAAACAAGAAGGTCACTTCATACACATGCGCCATCAAAGGAAACGACTTGGAGGATGATGAGATCGAGTTTGTCTTGCTAAAGAAATTCGGAGAAACCCTGTCGAAGGGAGCTATAATATGGTATCACAAATTACCTCCTAACTGAATTGACTCATTTGCGATGCTTGCAGACTCTTTCATGAAAGCACATGCTGGGGTTATTAAGGTCGAGACCAGGAAGTCGGACCTCTTCAAAGTAAGGAAAAAGGATAATGGGATGCTCAGAGAGTTCGTGTCCCAGTTTAAAATGGAACGAATGGACCTATCACCTGTCGCTGATGATTAGGCCGTTCAAGCTTTCAACCAAGGACTCAATGTTCGAAGCTCGGTGGATTCAGAATAATTGAAGCAAAATATGATAGAGTACCTGGCTGTTACTTGGGCCGATGTGCATAACCGATATAAATCAAAATTCAGAGTCGAAGATGATCAATTTGGGGCTCTTTCCGGGTTCGTTTACCTTGTCAGACCCATCGACAGAATCAAGAGAGATATTGACCGTGAACCAAGGTCAACAAAGATCTTTACATGCCGTATAATGGAGATAGGGGAAGCAGTGGGTCAAGGCGAAGTTCTATACGGAATGAAAGGAGAGATGATCAAGGTCAGAACCCTCGAGGACTCATGAGCAAGAACGGCTTCGACAGGCCTATCGAGCCTAAAGAAGCACCAAGGTTATCAGAATATAACTTTAATATTGATGTGGTTGCCATCGTATTAGCTATCAGACGCGTCAAAAATACCAAATGGCCTCGACCTTTACAATTTGATCCAGCCCAAAGGGATCCTAACTAAATGTGCAAATATCATGGCACTCATGGCCACAAAACAGAGGATTGCCGACAGTTAAGAGAGGAAGTAGCCGGTTTGTTCAACAACGGGCACCTTCTAGAAGTTCTAAGCGACCGAGCCAAGAATCATTTCAGAAAAAGGGATTCTCACAAACAGACCAAACCAGAAGAACCTCAACACGTCATTAAGATGATCATTGGTGGAGTTGATGCCCCTCAATGGTCGATATTGAAGCGCACCAAAGTGTCCATTAAAAGGGAAAAACGGACTCGAGATTACATATCAGAAAGAACCTTGTCTTTCAACAATGAGGACGTAGAAGGGATCATGCAGCCTCATAACGATGCACTGTTAATTTTTGTACTCATAAATAAATATCGAGTTAAGCGTGTGTTAATTGATCCAGGTAGCTCCGCCAACATCATCCGATCGAGGGTCGTAGAACAGCTCGGCCTACAAGATCAAATTGTGCCTGCAATCCGAGTTCTAAACAGATTCAACATGGCATGCGAAACCACTAAGGGAGAACTAACATTGCCGGTAAATACTGCCGGAACCATCCAGGAAACCAAGTTTTATGTGATCGAATGAGACATGAGGTACAACACCAATGTTTGGGAGGCCATGGATCCACAACATAAGGGCAGTACCCTCGACTCTTCACCAAGTGTTAAAGTTCCCAACGTTGGGAGGGATCAAAATAATCTACGGGGAGTAACCGGTCGCAAAGGAAATGTTTGTAGTTGAAGAAGTGATCCCGGTATCAACATTGGCAACATCAAAGGAACCGGGTTTGGATACAAAGCAAGAGGCTAAATAGAAATTATCGATGTTGGCTACGACCCAATAGGATAAATAGGGGACTGATGAAGATGATGATTACGGGGTTCCTAGATCTTTTATAGTCCCCGACGATTTCGATACCACCAAATCAACAGTCGAGGAGCTGGAACAAGTCACATTGATTGAACGTCTTCCCGATCAAAAGGTATACCTGGGCACGGGGTTAATCCCCAAGCTTAGAAAAAAATGCATTCAATTTCTTATGGCTAACATGGATTGTGATAGGTTTTCAATATCTTTACCTTGCGTTTTGATGATCTAACAAACTTAATGCCAAGAACCAGATAGGGAATCTGACTCACTTGGATTACACTACAACTAACGGATTCCAGCCAAATGTGAACTTGCTACAGCTTTAAGAGGTAGGAACCCAGACAAGGACCTGATACTCTTGTGGGTTCCTCACGGTAGTACAAAGTCAATTGGACATAGATGGAAACGAAGATTCTGCCATGCTGCACTATTTCCGGTGCCCACTCATTCTCTGATCAACTAAAGTACAATGATTCAAGTTATTGAACTCAAGACAATCTGGGTAGTGTGCACAAGTACCAGATCATGAACCTGATCCCTTGGTGCTTCTCTGACAGAAGAACAAGTCAACTATACAGCTGGATCGCAACTACAGAAAGTGACTGTTCGCAATTGTACAAAGAGGAATACAAGCGGGACCTAATCCCTCAGGGTTCTCTAACAGAAGTACAAGTCAAATATACAGTTGGAACACAACTAAGTAACTGTCCACAACTGTACAAAGAGGAATACAACAGGGACTTGGTTCCTTAGGGTTCTCTGATAGAAGTACAATGTCAACTACAGCTGGAAAGCAACTGCAGAAAGTGACTACCTGCAACAGTACATCAGACAGAGCAACAGACAGTGCATCAGTCACTTTCCATTGAGATTGGACATCACCATTATGAATTGACGTCACTAAGGTAATGTCTTGTGTAGTATAAACCTCATGAAAGGCACAAGATTCTGGTTCAACGCTTGCAAAATCATGAAAGGAAAATATTCTCTCAAGTGTTCAAGAACCTCTCTCAAGAACAAAGTTTCCTGCAACCTCAAGGACTTGATCCAAGATTGATGATATCTTAAGTCCTTAGAGTTGTTGAGTCTTTATTATGTGTTCTTCATTGTAACTCATATCCAGCTTTATTAGAAGCGTTGATTAGGTTGAGTCATAAGAAAAATCCTTTGTAATCGTAGTGTGACAATGTAGCTTGTGGTGGAAACATCACAAGTTAGTCAAAGCCTTTGTAATCGTAGTGTGACAAAGTGGCTTGTGGTGGAAATACCACAAGTTAGTCAAATTCTTTGTAACTAGGATAGTTATAGAGTGGCTTGTGATGAGAGCATCACAAGTTAGTTGAAGTCATTGTAATAGAGTTATTGTAAAGTGGCTTGTAATAGGGAGATTGCAAGTTAGTGAAGTTAAAAGCCTACATGTGTAGGTCGTAGTTTTTTGATCCCCTTGTGTGGGATTTTTTCACCTAAAAATCCTCGGCCTTATTTATATTCAGCTTTACTAGCATTCACTACATAACCCGATAAAGGACCAAGTACTCTACTATTTGGTGGATTCACACAAACTTAGCACTGTACCAAACTGATATAGGACCAGATCGCTATACAGTTTGGTTCATTAGTATTTTCAGAGGAAACAGATAGAGAACCCGATTCTCTATACAGTCTGGTGGACACTCAGTTTCTAACAAGTGGTATCAGAGCGGGTTCTTCCTATCAGGCTAACACCTAGGAAGGATCCTCATGGCTGCTCCACCAACTCTTGAAAGGAGAAAACCAAAGAAGGAAAAGTATCGGGTACTTAAAGATGCTAACAATGATTTGAGTGAGGAAGATAGTTACATGGCGTACTTAACCAAAAGGTTTTAGAAGATGGTCAGAAGAAATGGAGAAGTGCTAGAAAGGGATAACTCTAATAGATCAAAAAACAATGATCTTTGTTACAAGTGCGGAAGGGTGGACACTTCATGAAAAATTGTCCTCTCTTGAAGCAAGAATTCTCCAAGAACTTCAAGAGAAAAAGATCAGCTGAATATGACTCAACCTTTGCGTTGATGGCGCAACCAGATGATGATAAAGACGATGACAACAAAGAGGTAAATTTCAGGGATGTTCAGAGAAATCTGAAATTCTATTCTCCAAGAAAACTTATGTTTTTAGCTAATTTATTAATCAATGTCTTTCATAGTTTTGTGGAGGATAGGGATTCTTTGACTTTAGAATTAGCAAAATCTGAACAAACTAGAGACGACTCAGTGGTTGTAGTTACTAACCATAAGAGAAACCATTGAAACTTTCAGAAAAGAAAAGAATGATCTTTTGGCAGAAATTACACACCTAAGGAAATCAATAGTGAAACCTGAGATTAAGTCAAAACCTGAAAATTCTGTAAAAGGAAAGGAGAGAGCT